CAAATGAATATTAGACTTACTGAAAGAAATGCTTGGGAATTAATAGGATAGCATAAACCAGATCCAATTTCGGTATATGAATCATAAACAGATTCCCAACCCAAATCTTCCATTACTTTAGCACCAGATGCAGTTTTGGAAATTAAGCCCAAAACATGAAAGCAAGTTCTAATAAATAAATAAATATAAATAACATAAATAAATAAATAAGCAAGATATACAAAACAATGAATCTAAAAAAAAAAAAAATTCAAATTTATTATATTTTAACAGACCCTTTTAATGATAAGACAGCCGAATTTTCTGCTATGTATACAATATCTTTTATAATATTTTCTTCTTCTAAAAATTGTAATCCACTTTTCGATGCACCAATGTTACCCTATAAAACAATTAAAAAGCGATGAATATAATAAATACAATACAAATATAATAAATACAATAAATGCAATAAACACAATAAAACAATAAATACAATAAATAAACATAATATATATATAAAAATATATATTTAAACTCACAACAGCCCAAAGAATAGATTTTAATTTATATATAATAAGGGTATCACTCTTTTCCATTCCATGTTCTCTTATGAAATTCGCAAATTCTCGAAAATGACCTTTTTCTCGAAGTAATTGACATCCTTCTTCGGTTTTTGTCAATTCCCCATAAAAATGGGCGGGAGTCATTCCATCAAAGTTATGCCTATTATATAAAAGATGATGATTATTATAAATTCAAAATGTAATGATGGATGTGATTTAATGATGAGAAATATTTTCTTAATTAATTAATTAATTAATATATATTAACTGCACTCACATTTTGACGTCCTTGTCATCATCATCCGCAGCACGATTTTCTTCTCCATCAAGTTTCAATGCATTTGCCAAGGAAACTTCTAATTGAGTCACGTAATATTGATTACGACTCTTTATATATTTAAAATGGAATTAATTAAAATACAATTAAATATAATTAATTAAATAAAATTAAATATAATTTTAAAATAAATTAATTAAACAAATAAATATAAATATAATTAAATTTACCTGAAACCAATCATCCATTTCTTTTTCAACATAATTAGATTCAGAAAGATATTTGAATCCAATTGAAGTTGATAAAAATCTTAGTAATAATGGATTACCCACTTCCCCCAAATTATCTAAACTAGGTCTTAATTTAACAAGTAATTCGATATTTTCTTTTTGATTACATGTTTCTTCTAGAACTTGAACTGCCATTTGACATACTTCCATTGCAGGATCATATAACTATATGTGGAATGTAGAATATCGAACGAAAGAAAGAGAGGGAGAGAAATCGATTATTATGAAATCATTAATAATATCAATCATTAATTAATTAATTAATTAATTAATTAATACCAATTAATACCTGAGTTATAAGTAATTGAATTCCCCATTCATTAAATTTCTTGGGTGATGTTCGTAAAATCAAACCAAGGTGTTTTGTGGCATAAAGACGAACTCGCTTAATATTATTAAGAAATGTGTTAAGACATATGATGGGTATAATCTAGTTATAATATTTTCGAATAATATGTACAATAAAAAAAATAAAATAAAAAATACCTTATACCCAGAAGTCATCACTTTAGAAAGAAGAATACGAGGATGCCCGTCCCTAAAAATAAAAATTTAACAAATATAACCAATAATCACATTAATTAATTACCAATTGTATGAATAAATTTAATAATCAATAAATAATCAATAATTAAGGATATTTACAAACTGTAATCAAGATTCGTTATTATAGCCTTTATAAGATCTTCCCGACTTCTCAATTCACTTAAATGATAAAATGTATTAAATATTTTGAATTTCTCCAATAACCTTTAAATATTATAACAAAAATACTATTAATAATTGTTAATATATAATAAATAACATTGATGATGATGATAATAATAACAACAATAATAATTACTTGACACCATCTTTAAATTTACTAAGAACTCCTATCATTGTAAAATAACCCGCAGTTAATGTACTATTTATTCTTTCTTTAGAAAATAATGGTTCACTTTCAAAAGTTCCGTTGATCTAAATTTTAATTTATGTACAAATACATGTAAATATATGCGTTAATTAAATTAAATTATAATAAAAAAAAAAATTATCAATTATGAAAAAATTTGTAATTAAAAAAAAAAAAAGAGAAAAATTTTGCATACTGGGTCTAATTGATTTAATCCTTCCGCAATTTGTCTTAAAAATTTATTACTTTCTAAATACTTGACACCATCAATATTAGCCAAAAGTGTTGTAATAAGTGTACACCCTAATTGTATATAACGTTCGTTATCCTTAAAAATGAAAAAATAAATAAATAAAAAGTTAAATTTCTCAAATATATAACATATAATACATGACACTTCTTTGAATATAGATATATATATATAATAATAAATAACATATTTACATGACATAAAGGAGTCCTTTCGATTTCAGAAAATCGTCTACTATTTGGACGAAAAAATCCCAAAAGGCGTTTCATAAATTTTGTTTTAATTGCTTCCTCCAA